CAAGAAGAAAAGGAGGGAAGGAGGGAGCGGAGCTGGCGGGGAGCCGGGAGCCGCTCACCGTTCACCACCGTCCGCCGGGTGATCTCCCACAGCACCAGCCCGAACGCCCAAATGTCCGTTTTCTTGTAGGACTCGAAGCAGTCGGTGCGGATCTGCTCGCTCAGCACCTCCGGGGCCATGTAGCGCTTGGTGCCCACCCGGGGGTTGTTGCCGATGTCCAGGTAATCGCTGCCCTGGGAGTGCATGACCGCCAGCCCTGCGGGGACAGGTCACAGAGAGCTTGGGATGACTTTGAAAGTCATTAATTCGACTATGAAATGCTGGGATATCGGCCCTGGTCAGTGTATATTTATATTTATATTTATATTTATATTTATATTTATATTTATATTTATATTTATATTTATATCTATATCTATATCTATATTTATATCTATATCTATATCTATATCTATATGTAAATATTATATATAATATTATTTGCTATTGTTATATTATATTATAATAGAAAAATATAATATTATATTATATTATATTATATTATATTATATTATATTATATTATATTATAAATATATTATATAATATATTAAAATAGAAAAATAATATATTATATTATATTATATTATATTATATTATATTATATTATATTATATTATGAAAATAATATATAATATATAATATATATAATATATAATATATAATATATATAATATATAATATATAATATATAATATATAATATATAATATATAATATAATATTAACATTATTATTTACATAATTATAATATAATATATCATAATATTAACAATAATAAAATATTTATAATATATTTAATATATAGTATATAATTATAATAATAATAATATAATAATATTATAATAACAATTATAATAACTTAAATTTTTTAATAATTTAAATAACCGATATTAATAATAATTATATATTATATTATTATATATAGTAAATAATTATATCTATTATATAATTATAATGTAATACATAATGTTATGATATTTATTCTAATATTATTTCTATTATTAGAAATATAAATATAATATAAATATATATTTATATATAAATATATAAATTTACAAAGCTGCATCCATGGGACTCAACATCCCAGAGGTATCAAAACCCCAGGACATCACATCCCTGTGGCACCATCACCCTGGGGCATCACATGCCGGGAATATCCCATCCCCAAGATGTCACATTCCTGGAGCATCACATCTGTGGGGTTCCCCAGCCCTGGAGCAGCATCCTGGGGTGACACATCCCTGGGGTACCTCATCCTGGGGTACCTCATCCCTGGGGTGACACACCCCTGGGGTGACACATCCCTGGGGTACCTCATCCTGGGGTACCTCATCCCTGGGGTACCTCATCCCGGGGGTACCTCATCCCTGGGGTACCTCATCCCCGGGGTACCTCATCCCTGGGGTGACACATCCCTGGGTACCTCATCCTGGGGTACCTCATCCCTGGGGTACCTCATCCCTGGGGTGACACATCCCTGGGGTGACACATCCCTGGGGTGACACATCCCTGGGGTGACACATCCTTGGGGTACCTCATCCCGGGGGTACCACATCCCTGGGGTAACTCATCCCTGGGGTACCTCATCCCTGGGGTGACAGATCCTGGGGGTACCTCATCCCAGGGGTACCTCATCCCGGGGGTACCTCATCCCGGGGGTACCTCATCCCGGGGGTACCTCATCCCTGGGGTGACACACCCCTGAGGTGACACATCCCGGGGGTACCACACCCCCGGCTATCACAACCTTGGCCTTTCACACCCCGAAGTGCCACATCTGGGGTAGCACATCCCACCCCTCTGTCTCACCCAGGTCTGCAATGCAGCACTGCCGGTTGCTTTTCACCAGGATGTTCCTGCTTTTCAGGTCCCGGTGGGCGATGGCAGGTTTGCCTTGCGTGCCAAAAATCTCCACGTGGAGGTGGACGAGGCCACAGATGATGGAGGAGGCCAAGCCCAGGCAGGTCTCCACGTCCAGGGCTGTCCTCTGCAGGAAGTCGTAGAGAGAGCCGTTCTCGTGGTAGTGTGTGATGAGCCACAGCTGCGTGCTGGAGTTCCTGGACGTCATGTCAGAGGCGATGAAACCTGGAATGGAGAAACCCCTGGGATGGTGGAGCCACCACGAGGCCGCCCCCACTTCTCCAGCCCTCCTGGCCCCCCACTCACCCAGGATGTTGTCGTGCCGGAGGAGGACGGTGTTGTAGATCTCCGTCTCGCGGAACCACGACTGCTCGTCCCGGGAGGAGAAGATCTTCACGGCCACGCTCTCGCCATGCCACACTCCTCGCCACACCTCGCCGTAGCGCCCTTTCCCTGCCGCAGCCGTGGCACCGCGTCACTCGGGACACAGTGGGATGTCCCTGGATCCCGTGTGGCTCCTTGACCTTGGCCAACATCCCCCCACCCACCCGGCTGCTCCTCCCTCCCCAGCCTGCAGGACAGGCCATGGATTTGGGCTCGCTGCTGGGTTTTGGCTGACACCGTTGGGTCCAACCCCTCCCTCCTGGGTTTGAAGCTGTGATGCCGTCACTCAGGCACTGCTGTAATTTCTAATGTCCCCTGCCACTGCTGCCCGCCCCACAGCAGCCAGCGAGACAGGGGAGATAGATTTAGCTTGCCAAAGATCCTAAAAACGAGCTCTTTCCCTTAGCTGAGATGGCAGTCACAGCTTTATTTCTGGGGATCCTTCGGGGTGAGGTTGCAGGAGGGAAGGAGGAGGAGGTATGGATAAACACTCCTTTTTGAAGGCAGGGGGGAAAGGAGTGGAGGGAATTTACACAACCAATAAGGGGAACTGGGGAGAACAAGATAAGGGAAAGAAACTTACAATTCTACATTTTTGGGGGTACATTTTTGGGTTATACCATTTTTCCTAACTGCATTACAAGAAGGCACCAGCTGGGGGTGACCAGGGCAGCCTCCCCCGCCTCAGCCGCTCTCCTTACCCACACACTCCATGAGGGTGATCTGCCGAGCCACCGTGCGCTGGACCAGGAAAGGCAGCCCAGAACCACTGCCCGTGGTGCAGTCATCGCTCAGCAGGTCCTGTGCACACAGGGTGCCCGTGGGGTCAGCACGGCCACCATCCCCACACACACCCTGGGGACATTAAGGGTCCCTCGTGGAGCTCACCCACCTCTAAGGTGCTGTCTCCCATCATGGATGCCTTCAGCATGAGGTCTGTGTCACCAAAGTCACTGTGCTTGTGGCGGTGCTGGGCCACCTTCCAGCAGAAGAGCGCCGTGAGCGCCGCGAGGACGAGGAGGGAGAGCAGTGGGACGAAGATCATCAGGAGGAGGTTGGGTAGGGAAGGCGTCTTTACCAGGGCATCTTCTCCTGGTTGGGAGAAACAAGGGATGGAAGCAGGAGGGAGGGTGGAGGTTTGGGGTTTGGGCCTGGGGGAGCGTCCCTGCATTGGGATCAACCCCATGGGTGGCAGCACAGCCCAAGAAGGGACACCTGGGGACATCTCGGTGGCTCTCTAGGTGCTGAGTGAGGACAGGGACGATCTTGAGACCCAACCACATCTCCAGCCACGCAGGCAGCCCATCCCCTGTCCCCCTGCCCCTGTACCTTGCAGGAAGATCTCCAGCTCGGCGTTGCACATGCGGAAGTTGCAGCACCTCATGCCGTACTGCTCCGTCACGGGCGTGTGGCAATGCTCCAGGATGTTCTGGGAGAAGCAGCCCCGGTGCTGGGTGATGGTTCCCTCCTCCCTCCTCTTGCTGACGAAGCACACCTTGCCCGTGCAGTTGGGCTGGCTGCAGTGGGGCACATCGCAGGCACACAGCAGCTCCTCTGCGGGCACGAGGAGGGGACACCATGGGGTCACCCCGCTGCCCACCCGGGAGCTCCGGTGGCTTTGGGGACAGGGACATTGTCCTAAAGAGTGGGACATGGGCGGCCTGGGAGCATCAGAGGAGGAGGGAAGGCTGCTGTCCATCCTGACACCTCCCAGAAATCACACATTCCCAGCCCTGAGCCTGGGGTCACCTGTCCCCACACCCCCAGCGGCTCTGTGGAATGGAGGGTGCTTCGAGTCCCAGCAGCTGGGATTGACTGGGACGCACTGGTTTCCAACACCCATCCTGCCATGGAATCCCAGGGGACACGGGACCCATGGGAACCTGATCCCGGGAGCTGGGGTGGGATCAAAAGCCCCAAACTCATCCAGTGCCTTTCCAGAGGGTGTTTTGGGAGCCGGGTGCCAAACCCAGGGTCTTTCCTGGAGTTTTCCTTGACTTCCCCGAAGACGCCACGGTGCCAGCGTGGCTCAGATGACTGCCACACTCCCAAATTCCTAATTTAGCTCTGCCCTTTTGCACAGAAAATATCCCTCCTGGAATCACTGAGTTCAGCGTGAGGGCAGCCAGACATCCGGTGGTGAGGGGACAGTGAGTGGACAGCTTTGGTGGCCCTCCTGCACCTCCTGTCCCCCTGCCCCAAAGGCTGCCTGGTGCCAGTGCCAGGGGGTGGTGGCAGGGCCGGTTTGGGGTTGGTGGCCCCGGGGGCAGGACAGGGACTCGGTGGAGACTCATCCCCCCAGAAAATTCTGCTGCTCCTCCCTGGCACAGCCACATCCTCCCGGACCTCCCTGCAAAAGCATCCAGCCTGGATCTGTCCCCGGGTCACCTGCTGCTCCCCTGGGATGCTGAGCAGCTCCTCCTGCTTCCCATCATCCTCATCCTCATCCTCATCCTCATCCTCATCCTCATCCTCATCACCCCTGGGGAAACCCACATTTCTCAGTGAGTGGTACCAGCCTTTCCCCATCTCCCCTCTGCTGACAGCAAAGCACAATTAATGAAGCTGAGATCCTCTCTGGGGGATGGCTCACCATTCACAGGGGCACAGTCCCTGAGGAGCCCAGCTTCCTCCCGGGTTTTATTTCGGGCAGAGACGATCCCAAAAAGCCCGAGGGTTTATTTGAACCTGCTGTGCACTGGCACTCACCGGCTGCGAGGCTGAGGGACAGAGACAGCAGCAGCAGCAGCACCCGGCCACCGGCTCCACCCGGCATCGTCCTGCGGAGAGCAGAGGGGTGAGAGCAGCCCCTGCAGCCCCGGGGGCTTTGGGAAGGGACAGGGGGGACCTTGCGGAGCCGCGGGCAGAGTGAGGTGGGATGCGCTGCTTCCAACGCACATCCTGGGTCCAGCCCTTCCTGACAGCACATCCCGGCACCTCCCAGGCTCGGGGGACCTCCCTACCATGGCAGGGGGTCCCATTGTGGTCCCACAGCGCTCAGGAATGAACTGGAACCAGGCCCTTGCCACATCTGCCGGCCCCAACCTCCCTCCTTTCCCCGGTGATCCGAACTCCGGCACTTCCCGCTGCTCCCGTGGCTCCTGCCCGGTAAAAGCACGGCCCCCACGGGCCTGGCAGCGCTGACCGTGCCACGGCACCGCTGGAGATTCCGGCTTTGGGATGGATTCCAGGGATGGAGCTCAAAGCCCCAACATCCCCCGCTGGCCACGGGCAGGGGCTCGGTCCTGAGCGTGCTTTTGTGTGGAGCTTATCAATGACACAAACAGAGGTGCTGGGACAGCCAAAAATTCCTTGCTGAGCCTTTGGGGGGGAAGTTTGGCTATTTTTAATCTTCCTTTTTTTTTTTTCTCCTTGTGAAAGGGACATTTCTGCCAAGGCAAACACGGAGATCCCCCCGCCGCCCCCCGCTCGCTCCAGGGCCGCAGCCCCGGCCCCTCCTCGGCTCATTCTTCGTGTTCCCGACATAAACATGCCAAAGGCTCCGTTTCCTGCAATTGAAGAGCCCAGCCCAGGGCTGCTGGGACAGGAATCAAGATTGTTTAGATTCTGGCGCTGATGGGGAAGCGGAGTCACGCAAGGCCGGCCCTCGGGAGCGCACACGGACGTGGCTGACCCCGGCGGGCTCCAGCCCTGCTGGAAATCGGCCTTTTCCTCCCCAAAATAACTCACTTAGCTGTTTCTCAGGGGGAGGACCAGATCCTGGGGCTGGGGGCTGGTCCTGGGTGCGAGGACTGGGCCAGGATCGCCTTTGGTTAAAATCCCAGCTCGCTCGGAGCTGGGCTGGGATCTGCTTTATTTTAAAACTCAGGGCTGCTGATTCCTGACTGCCAGGATGCTGCTGAACACCGCACTCCTCGCCATCCTGAGAGCTCCAGGATGCATGTTTTAAAAGGGAAGCTGAGTCTCCCAGGTGGTGAATTCCCTCCTTGGAGCCACTTCCAAAATCCCGAACCATTAAACAGCTGCAGGATATTTGCCATGAAATACAAAGCAGGGCAGGGCGTCACCCAAAACTCTGATGTAAATGAAACATCCCGTGGATTGTCATTGTTACTGAGAGCAAACCTTAATCCAGAGCCATTCCTGGCATCCCACAGGAAAAACATCCCAGGTTCTTCAGTAGTGGCACAAACCAGTCCTGGAGTAGCCATCCCTGTCCCTTCCCTCCTCCTTTCTCATCGGGAGCTGCAGCTCACGGCATGCAGAGCATCTTACCCTGCCTGCCTGGCTGCTGTATTATATTCTTTGGGATTTGTAGCATCAGGAGAAGGAAAGCAAACCCCAGGGAAAGCTCTGGGATGGGACATGGGTGCTGGCAGGAGTGCTTGGGAGGCAGCTGTGCTGCAGCTCGAGGGTCTGGAGCAAGAAAAAACCCCGGGGAAGGGGAATTTCCCCATCACCCCCATGGAGAGAAAAGCAAAGGGGAAATGGAGCAGGAACAACATCAGTTCAGGGAAGGGTGGCAGGGCACAACCCTCGGGATGGGGGATGGTTCAGGGATCCCTGCTCTTACCAGGGCAGCTTGGCCGAGCTCCTCAATCCCAGCTCTTCTGCCTTCCCCTGTGGTTTCTGCAGCTGACAGGGGTTTAGGCTCGGGCTGTGGCTCACAGCTCTGTTTCTGCAGCTGACAGGGGTTTAGGCTCGGGCTGTGGCTCACAGCTCTGTTTCTGCAGCTGACAGGGGTTTAGGCAGGGGCTGTGGCTCACAGCTCTGCTCCCTGTGCTGCCTTTCCCCAGGGAGTCCCACACAGCCCAGCCCCTCGTGCCGGTGCCAGCCAGGTGAGCCAGGTGTGAAGCGGCTGCGGGGCTGCACGGACAGCAGGGCAGAGCTGGCAGCGGCTTTGCCACAGATGCCAAGGCTCCAGCCTGGTGTCAGGCACAGGTGGAGGTTTTCCTTTCCTTGCTCACAGCTGCAGGTGGGTCACAGACACAGCAAAGCTGCATTCACCCTCCAGCAGGCTCCACCAGCCCAGTCCTCTTCACTGAGGGGCATTTCCATTCCATGAGCAGCAAAACCCACTCAGAGAGCAGCAAAACCCACTCAGGGAGCAGAAAAACCCACTCAGAGAGCAGCAAAACCCACTCAGAGAGCAGCAAAACCCACCCAGAGAGCAGCAAAACCCACTCAGAGAGCAGCAAAACCCACTCAGAGAGCAGCAAAACCCACTCAGGAGGCAGCAAAACCCACTCAGAGAGCAGCAAAACCCACTCAGGGAGCAGCAAAACCCACTCAGAGAGCACAAAACCCACCCAGAGAGCAGCAAAACCCACTCAGAGAGCAGCAAAACCCACTCAGAGAGCAGCAAAACCCACTCAGAGGGCAGCAAAACCCACTCAGAGAGCACAAAACCCTCTCAGGAGGCAGCAAAACCCACTCAGGAGGGCAGCAAGACCCTCTCAGGTTCCCCTTGGTTTGGACATCGCCTGTGGCTCCTGGAGCAGAGAGGGACAAGGGCACTGTGGCTGTCCTGGCCTTGCCCAGGCTCCAGCCCCAGCTCTGACTGAGCTCCTCAGTGGGGCTCTCCCCAGCTGGGGTTTGGAGATGGAGCCTCTTCAGTGGCCATTTGTGTCCTCCTTGCTCCTCTGAGGGGCCTGGCTGTGCACAGGGGAGCATTGAGGTGACACTTTCTGTGCTGCTGCAGCCCTCGCTAGCTGAGCTGAGCTGTCACCTTCCCCTCGTTTTTCCCTGGGCCCTTTCAAAATACACCCAAATTCTCCATTTTCCATGTCAATTCCAGCCTTTCTATTGCAGTTGCTTGTTATTCCAGCTCTTTAGCAAGGACCTGGGGACAGATCCTGCTGCCACCACACTGATGTGAACCCTCATTGTGCCCTGGCCCAAATTGCAGCCTCTCTAGCCCTGATGTCAACACCGGCGTCCCATGAAACACAAAGGAAATGGGGCCAAATCCTGATTTTGGGGGTAAATCAGGAGGGAAGCCCTGAGCTCGGTGCAGCCCCAGACCCCATGAGCGTGTGGCTCTTCCCCACTCACCTCCAGCATCCACGTCCTGCAGGAGCCCGCGGCACTCCCGGCCCTGCCGAGGCTCTCGCGGCCGTGATCCCGCTCTGGATCTGCCTCAGCCAGGGCAGCTTTGCTCCGTGCCCTGAGCCCCAACTCCGAGGATCTTCATGGATCTGCTCCCCTCCCACCACCCATCGTGTCACCGTGGGGCTCCCTCGGCCGTGTCCGTCCCGCCGGGGGATTGTCACCGTCCCCGGCCTGCCTGCGGGGCTCGGCTCGGCCACCCCGTTGTCCGACGCAGCCGTTTGGCAGCTGCTCCGTGATCTGGATGTGGGAGAAGTCAAAAAAATGTTTCTTATTACTGCCTCTTCCTGCCTGGCTTCTCTCCACCACTCCCAGCTAATAAAGCATTTCCTATTGCTGAGCACACAGCCACGACCAGCCTCCCTTCCTCCCGCTCACCGGGCCCCAGCTCCATCCTGGTTGCTTTCCCTCGCCTGTCGCTCCCTCCTCGTCCTTCACCGAGTGCTTTCCCACCCAGTTTTCATGGCAAACCCGATCCTGTGGTGTGGACATGGCCGTCACCACTTCACCCTGAGCATCCCAAGGTCCTCAGCAGGAGCACAGCTGGTTGCTTTCTCAGGGATGGGAATGTTCTAGAGAGATGCTGTGGGAATGACCTTGACCGGCTTGGCCACCCCTCCTGCTCCAGCACTGTGCCAAGAGCCAAGGGGCTCCCTGGTTATTCCATGCTGGACCCAGCAGTGCCAGTGACGCCTTCTTGGGCTAAGTAAAATTAGAGGCCAGACAGAATTAAAGGAATAAAAGTGATTTTATTTGTTGAAGGGCATCCAGGTACATTTTGGGCAGACAAAGCCCCACCAGAGGCTGCACCCAAAAATGGACCAAACCTATAAAAGTATGAAAACCCTTGACCCATCACCCATGTTGTACCAAAATGTACCTGAACGCCCTTCAATAAACATTTATTCCCTTAATTTTGTCTGGCCTCTGTTTTTGGGTAGCCCATAAAGGCATGGGGAGGGCGGGAGAGGGTTTCACCCCGGGCTGGAGATGCGGAGCCCTGGCCATGAGCAGGGCACGGTGGCCAAGGGGCTTCGCTGGGAGCCTCGTGCTGGCACGTCCCCGCTGTCCCCACGGTGACAGGCACTGGGACACCGCGGGCAGGGCCGTTCCCACGGCCTGGGGCTGGGCACTTCCCGCTCCCCCGGAGCACACGGGACCGTGGGCAGCGGAAGCGCCGCTTCCCGTTTTGCTGCTTTCAGGGCTGTTCTTTGGGCCACCCCAATCTCAGCTGCTTCTCCCTCCTCCCGCTCCCCACTTCTCCCTCCAGTGCCATCCCCAGCCCCATCCCTGCCTTTCTGCTTTCTTGCCTCTCTGTTTTCCTGGCACGGTGACCCTCTCCCGCATCGCAGCCCTTTCCTAGCGAGGTGCCAGGGTTTGATTTTCCTCCCCGCTGCCATCGCATCCCCAGCCCCGGCAGCGCCACGAACCCACCCGGAGCCTCCCAGCGCCGGCGGCGGAGCTTTGAGTCTCGCCAGGCGCTATCAGCCCTGATCTAGGAAGTTTAAACAAACAAAAGCACAAAACCAGGATAAAACATGAAGGACTTTCACACGTGCCTTTGGCCGTGCGGGGCCCGGAGCTTTGAGGAGCGGCGCGGGGGAAACGGGCAGTTTCCATCAGATTGGAGCTGCCCGGGGGAAGCTGATGCCTGCAGACATCCTATCTCCCTGACCATCTCTGCCATCCCGCCGGATTGGCCCCTCCCAGGGTTACTCCTGGATGGTTCTTGCATCCCTTCCATGGGAGCAGACACAGGGCATCCTGCTTTTACGGCTGCGGGCAGGAGTTATTCTGGGCCAGCTCCCCAGCAAGGGCTGCCGCTGGATGGTTCCCTACAACTCCATCTCTCAAACGGCTCCTCTTTAACTCATAATCATCACTGAAGGGATGCTTAAAAACTTCTAAAAGTTCCTAAATCCCAATCCTGGGTGACTGGAAGGGCAGGGATGGGTGGGAGCCCCGGGCCCAGCTGCAGCTCTGGCGCTGTCAGTGTGAGACTCCAGGGAGGGATTGACTGTAGAGGTCTGAGATGGGCAAATCAAAGGCACCGCAGGCTCCTGCCCCACTCCCAGCCCTTGTCTGGGGCACACAGGGTGAATCAGCAGGGCTGGGCACCACCCACACTCCCATGCCAGCCCTGCTACAACCTCCCGCCACCCCCTGAGGCCAAACGAGACTTTCCTTCATCATCCCGCTGCTCATCGCTGTCATTTCACCCTGCAGAAGGGAAGGGGCATCCCTGGACCACAGCCGGAGCCTCCCCATGTGCACCCAGCCGTCCCTTGGGGTCTCGCTGAGCCATCCCCCGATGGCAGAGGGGGCAGAGGGGCCGGTGGGAGCCCGTCTGTCCCTTCCCCCCCAGGCTGGCGAGGCTCATGCCACGGCTGCTCCATGTGCCGTCCGCCCCCGGCTCATCTGCGAGCGGCAGGGAGCTGGCGAAGGAGGGCAGCCACGTGCCGGGGAGCCCGAGCGAGCCAAGGGATGGAGGGGAACAGACGGGGAGGCTGCAGCTCCTTCCCCACGGGAATCCTTCCCCTCCTGCGGCACAGCCCCAACCTCCCAGCGCCCCACAAAGGGCAGAGCTGCAACCTCAAAGTGGGGAGTGTGGACTCCTGTCCCCCTAAAATGGGGGTGGTGCAGGGAGGGGGCTCCACAGCCGGCCAGGAATTATTTATGACCTGTGTAACTTTTGCTCTGAGCACTGTGACACTGCTCACTGCGCTCCTGGAATCACACTCTGCCGGTGCTGCACCCCAGCTTCACATCCCGACACCCCGGGCTGGAGCTGGGTTTTTGGGGATCTTGAAATGTGGGGGTCCCAGCACCCTGCAGCTGGAGCTCTGGGGGCAGCTGGGGATGGAGCCCACGAGTGTCCCAAGCTTGGTTCCCATCCTGTGCCTGGTGCTCCCTCCACAGCATGGAGCCGCTCCCTGTGCTGAGCCTCGCTGTGTCCATCCAGCAGCCAGGAGCCCACAGCAGTGGGGAATGTCACCGAGGAGGTGACAGCGTGGCCAGGGGACACCGGCAGCAAAGGGGGAGCATTCCTGCCAGCCCCACAGCAACCCTGAGCTTTATTCATGGAATCACTCCTGTTAACATGGCAACCACTTCCATTTTAATTTGCTCAGCCACATTCCAACGCACGCTGTGGAATCGAGAGCTCGGGAAGATCAAAGAGGCAAAAAAAAAAAAAAAAAAAAGGGAAAAAAATGAAAGAGGAAAAAACACAGGAAGGACTTGTGCCACAATCCTGCTCCCTGGCATCCCTGGAGCTTGGGCCAGGGTCTCAGGACATCAGCGCCCAGCACAACATGTACCACCCTTGGGGTGGAGAGGACAAGAGGCCAGGCAGGGGCCTGTGAACCCTCGGGGATATTTCAGCTGGGTGTGTCCTCCCACATCATCCTCCTCCCTTGGACATTCCCATCCTCCGGGAACAAAACCACCCCTGTGCCAGAAAAGCCAGCGGATCCAAGGGGACAGCAAGAACCTCGTCCCCACCCCGACACCTCCCTCCTTAACGTTTCTTTTTCTTTTTCTTCTTCTTCTCCCCCGTCTTGGCCTCCTCGGCCGCTTTCTTCTCCTCCTTCAGCGTCTTGTACCTCCACTGAGGCGGCTGCAGCAGGTGCTTGTCCTTCACGCGTGGCTTCCGCTCCCCGGCGGACGAGCCCGAGGCTTTGCTCACTTTGATTTTTGGGACGGGCTCCCCGGGGAAGATGCTGTTCCCACGGCGCAGCCACAGCGGGAGGAAGCTCAGGAGGCGGCTGGGCGGCCGTGGCGGCGGCAGCAGCCGCACCTCGGACGTGGCTTGGCCGTTGCAGGACGATCCCCGGGTGCCGGGGCGCGAGGACGTTTGGGACTCGCCGTCCGGATCCGGCACGTGCTGCCCGAGGATCTCCGGCACCGACAGCCTGCGCTTGCCCACCTCGGGCGGGCTGTCGGGGCAGATGGTTTGGCAAGCGGTAGCCACGAAAGGGCTGGCGAGGGACGTGGTCATCCTCACCATGTGGTCCATCACACCGTCCTCCTCGGGATTGCGGGGGATGTTGAAGGTGAAAATGGATCGGATCTTCTCCGACAGCCTCTTGCTCCTGGATTTGGGGCTCAGGGCCTTGGCCACCAGCTCG